CCAAATGGGCTCAGGGCCAAGCAGTGTGCAGGTGGGTGGAGGAGAGGAGCTGCACATCTGGAGGGAAAAAAACAGGGGTGGGGTTCCATTCTATCTCTGAGAGACAGGGGGGAAACACCACACACACACACACACACACACACACACACACAGAGAAATATACAGACACAGGCATACGTGCTCACTTACTCACAGAGCACAGTCACTGCCCTCTTGGCCACACAAATAGAATGGACTGGCCAAAGAGAGACTACGATGAAGGGAAGGCAGAAGTAAGGGCCTTGGCCCTTTCTATCAGAGACACCTCTTAGGCGTAACACAGGGTCCCCTCATCCTAACTAGGACGTTTCATTCAACCCTATCCGGAGGCGGGTCCTATGGAAGAGATTGTCTAGCGTTAGAGAAGATGAAGTTTGCCCCACTGAGGAGTGGCCCCAAGCCCAGGCCTCCCACTCAAAATGTTCAAGGATCACACAATCAAGGCTCACACAATCTAGTCTCACAGCCTCAAGCTCCCAAAGACGAGCCAGAGAACCACCACCCCTGCTCGCGCCCGCCCCCGCCTCAGTCCCCGCCCAGCCAGCGCTTTTCCACGCCTAGCTGCTTGGGGGCTGCGGCAGGCCCCTGGCTGAGGACTCACCGCAGAACCGGGACCTTCGGGCCGCTCGCCCCCACTAGCTCGGACCCTCCATCCAGGTCCCGGCCCGCCCCAGGCCTTTGAGGGGGCGGGCCGACCTCCCGCGCGCCCACTCCAGGTTCCGAGCAGCTAGCAGCGCGGTAGCTAGCAGCCTCCAAAGCCCTGGGAGGGGCGGACCGGCCACCAGCGGCGGGGGAAGGGAGCCAGGGGGAGGGACAAAGGAGAGGAGGAGGGGAAGAGGAAGTGATGGAGGAGCGGTGAGGGGAGCGGGATGGAGAGGGCGGGGCGCGAGGATACGGGGAGGGAGCAGGTTTGGGATTCTGGTGCAAGGGGCCGCAGGAGAAGTCGGGCAGGGTGGAAAGGTTTAAGGGAGATGACAGAAATAAAGGTGAAAGGTAAATATAGAGACCAGAGGGTAAAGAGTTAGGAGGAGAGAGCCAGAAGACAGGAGTGAGGAGAAGCAGGGTCTCACTGAGAGTCCTCTGTGGTAGGAAGTAACCGGAGGTTTGGGATGGGGCCAGCCCAGCCTTGACTGGCTGGTCACCTTGGGCTAGTCATACCCTCTGGCATTATCTACAGAAAGAAGAGGTTAGCTTCAAATACAGCAGGGGTTAAAATCTGACATTCCATGGCTCCATATATCAGAGAGAAGAACGGAACTCGCAGAGATTCAGATAGGTCACTAGGTCCAGCTCTCAGTCTGCCACTGTGACAAGGTCCCTCCTGGGCTGCGAGTTCAGGTCAAGGCAGTGCTCTGTGCAGTGTGAGCAACACTGAGCCCAGCTCCTGTCTTCATCCTAAACACCTCCTCTTCTCAGCCCCTTTTCCCCTCTCCGCACTCCCAGCAATGCACTTCACCCTACTACCCAGGCTAGACCAAGGCACTGCTCCTTCTGAGTCAGCCCATTTCCCTGGGGCTCCAGATGCCAACCCTACCTCCTTCCAACCCAATCACCAGTTGTACTAACCCCAGCAAAGAGCTCTCCCGCCCCACTGAGGTATGCTTTCCATCTGGGAAACACAATGCCACCTGCCTCTGAAGCTCCCAGGGGAAGGATGAGGTTCTGGGCCAGGCAAGAACCTACCACCCAGCCTGGGCCCCAGAGAGTTCCTCCTGTTCCAGGGACCTGGTCTCTCAACACCAGAACCTTAAGGAACACACTGTGTTCTCAGACACGTTCAATATGACCAGCACTCACAGCCATCTACACTTTCTCTCAGATACACACCAATACTTGCTCAGTCACACAAACACCTCTGGCTATGCACACTCTGAGTCACACAAACATCTCAGTTAAACATGTCATCTCTCACACACACAACCCCACAGGCACCAACCCACTTCTTAGTTACACACTCAGACATAGATATCCTTTCACTCAGTCCCTGGAGAAACTCTGAAATCAAAAGTCAGGAATAATCAAGTGATTTTTCCACCCTTGCTGAACACCTACCCATGCTACCATACTACTCACACACACTCACACACTCGCACACTCACACGTGTACATGCATCTTATTTGCCTTCTGAAGGAAAAGGAAGAAATGCAAAATAGGGGGAGCCTTTAAACATTTTTTTCTCAGGAAGAGTGATTCATCCGTCTGGAAACTGCGATGGCCAGCTGGACAGACCCAGACAGAGAGGATACCTGCCAGTGAGAAATTGGGCAGGAGGCAGGCACAAGAATTGGGGAGCTAGGATAGGAGCCTTTGCTTTTTCTCTCCTTCCTTTGAACTTTATTAGTCAAGATATTTATCAGCTTTATAACAAAAGACAGTTGGAAGGCTTCACTCCCATTTTACAGGAGGAATAACTGATAAATGGGTGGGAAAGAAAGGGCTCAGCATCTTGGATCTCAGAGGGAGGCAACTGGATAACCCAGGAACCCTGGCTCCCAGCCATGTCCCAGGGAGCTTCCCCTGCTGGCCCTCACACAAGCCCCTATCCACCAATGAGGGACTTAGGGAGTGGAGGAGACATGGATAAAAGGGCTGACAGCAAATGCTGGGAGTGGATGGGGACCTACATCTAGACAGTGTGGGCCCTGAGTGTGTGGCTTTCTGGGCCCTCCCCTCCTATCCTCTCCCAGATCTTTCATGTGGTCTGGCAACGTGGTCCCAGGGTGGGGCAGCCTAAACCCAGACTAAGATTATTCCTCATTTCCTTGGTCCTATTCCCAGTTCCACCTCTTGCTCTGTAGAGAAGAAGGCAGCAAGGGATGTACCAAGATACCTTGATATGAATCAAGATCTTCCTGGCTCCCTCACTTCAGGTTCCCATGTCCATAGCTCTAATTAAAGGTTGGCATCTGCTTTCTGCCCACCTCCCCCTATCCATGGCCCAGGCATATTCCTGCTAGAAGAGCCTGTCAGTCATGCTGTCAGTCATGCTGTGTGCCTCTCCAAGTTGCCTATGTCAGTCATGCTGTGTGCCTCTCCAAGTTGCCTATGGCTGAGCACAGTGCCCAGAACGATGCATCTAAGGCCTGGCCCAGCCAGAGCAGTCTCTTTGTTGTTTCTAGGGTAGCCCTCTGTTTTTCAAAGAGGAACGTCCCCTCTACAAGGTTGGGTCAGGGGAACAAGACAGGAAAAATGATCCTCTTGCATGTATGCCCACAGATAGGCATGTGGCCAATGAGTTCTCATAGACACATAGGAGTACCATCAGTCCTGAGTTTACTCCTGCCCCCCACTTGAACACTCTGATCCATAAACACAAGGAAAGACACAAACACAAGAGATACACAAGCCCAGAGTCACAAACACATCCGGAGATACATAAACACACTCCAGACACACAGAGATAGCACATGCACCCTGCCCCACCCCCAGCCACCCAGTTTCCAGGGAAACGCACTCCCAAGAATGTCCGGAGTGGGGCCAGGCAGGGCTGGGCTTGGTGCCTTGCTCCAGAGATGAGACAAGGAAACCCTCAGCTCCTGGAGCCTAGGGGAGGGGGAGCGCTGGGGAGAAGAACACCCATTCCTTTGTGCCTCTGCCTACCCCTTCCCAGGCTGCCAAGCTTCTTGGACAGGCAAGTCTAGACAAGAAGGTTATAGGGATGGGAGGGAGAAAAAGGGAAGGGGCTTTAGGGTCAGAAGAGAGTAGGAGGGTACATACTTGGCAGGGTAGACTTTTGGCCAGGGAAGAATTGGGGGTCACTGGGGCCACAGGAAATGCCTAAGAATTCCGTGTTGGCCCAGGCCCTCCCTCTTCTCAGGGAGCTAAGTGATGCACTGGGAAAAGTGGGCAGGAGAGGACTACAGAGCATCGGTTCCTCTATCCTGCTCACAACATAGGGGAATGATGTTCTTGCCCATGAATGTGAGGGATTTGGGGCCAGCGTAGGAAGGGATGGGCTCTTTCTCTAGCCTTCTTTGAACTCTGCCCCAACCTCTCCTTGCTGCTTTCACTTCCATGTGCCCAAATCTTGGGAAAGATACTCTCTTTGAGACTGAAGAGGACTATCAGGAACCAGATGGCATCACAGCCAAAGTCCCAATATATGGGGATTCCTCTTCTCATCCAGGAATCAGAGACTTAGAAGCCCTGGAGGAAACAAGGGCCTGCCTGCTGCTGGTGGTGGGCCTGCCTCCCTGAAGTCAATTGTCCACCTGACCCTCCCAAGGGGAGAAGGAAAGGAGTAGGGCAAGGTTGGGCCTACTGGGTCAGCTGTGAAGGAAGTAGCATTTAAAGAGACTCCAAGGGGTGTGAACAGAAGGAGGGAGGGGAAACAGTGAACCGAGTGGAATTTCTACTGCAAAGGAGCTTCCAACCAGTAAGAGGTAATAGTACCCAGAAAACGATGCCAGGATATCAGTCCTCTGGCTCAGAGCCAGGCTCAGCCCCAAACTCCCATCCTCATGTTAACCCTACCTGTACTCCAGCCCAATTCTCATTCCCCTAATATGATGATTAACCATACAAATTGATGCCCAGGGCAAACACATTTGTTCTGTCAAAGTGCCACATGGGTCAAACCCTTACCTGCCTGGTCACCATAGTAACTAGAAGCCCAGTTTTTAGAGTTACCTTACACAATAGAATGGCCTTTTGCTTTGGGAAACAGAGTGGTAACCATATTCATGACCCAAAATCTACTGTCAACAGCTTTTTAACAGGAGTTGGCATGTCTTCAGATTTTGCCATCAGGTTTTGCCCTTGCCCAATCCCCATCAGGGGGTTTTGTCCTCCTCTCCCTGACCTGTACAGCTTTTCAGACCACAGCTCCCCATTGTTCCCCTTATTGCTGTTCCAATTGCTCTCCCTTAACAACTGCTAATAACCACTGCACCACTCCCATGCCTTTTGATAGCAGAAATTGGAACCTCTTCTCTCTCCAGTGGTGTAGGGATTGAAGAAAGATGGGGGTGACCAGAAAGGAAAAGCAGGCTGAAGACAAGTCTGGATGACAAAGGGGTTTGGGGTATTGTTTAGGCACATCAGATGTGCCTGAACACCCCATCCCCAATATGGCCACTCAGGCATTTACCATGGCAACAAACACAGCAGGCTTCCCCTGCACCTATTATGCACAAGCTTTTAAACAGAAGTCCCCTATTTTTGGGGTATCAAACTTTACCCTGAGTGAGCCGGGTGGGCTGTCGAACAGGGAGTCCATCAATAGCACAGGCATTACCACAAGGGTAGAGGGTGAGGGTGCCCCGCAGGTTCTCGATGTAGCAGTGCTCTGGAGCCAGGCCTGGACCCTGCAGTGAGATGTCCTTGGCTGCAGAGCCAATCACTGTCCTCCCTGAAAATAGGAGGCAAACTGAGTCAGAGGGTTGCCAGGCTATGAAGGCAGGAACAGGGCAAGGAGAGCCACAGTAGAAATATATTTCCACCTCTTACTCTAGGGAGAATCACTGCCAACACCGGCCACCCCTTTTGGGCCTCTGAGCCTGGTTCTGACAATAAGTGGTAGAAGTTCTTCTCAGGCAGAGAAAATGCTAGACCAGAAATGGGAAGCCCAAGACCACAATAGTATTCGGACTCCACAGATAGAATAGAGAAGGGGGGTTTCTTTTCTGCAGACCTTTCCTTAGTCCTTCCAACTCTCCCTCCCTCGGTCTTTTGTCTTCCATCATACCCTTCATCATCCCCGCCCCCCCACCCACCCCCCCCCACACTCTGTTTTTCCTCTAAATCTCCTTCTCTCTCTCTTTATTCTCTCCCTCCCTTCTGCCACCTTCAACCCTTGCCCTCCCTTACTCCCTCTCTTTTCAGTGCAACCCTACCCTCACTGCTTCTGCGTGAACAGACCCTCCCCTGGCAGAGCCCCTGGGACTGGTATTTAGAGAATGTAGGGAATGTAGTATCACCGAGGCAACAAGAGTAACCAGGAGAGAAGAGTAAGGGCAGAAGCTGCAAAGTGAAAGGGCTGTGCCAGGGCCTTATTTTGAAAGGTCTGCCCCTACTACTCCCTTCTCTCCATTCTCTACCAGTAGCTTCTCTCATGCCAAGCATTGCCCTGAAGTAAGGCCCCCTCTCTTCTTGGCCATACTATTTGCTAAAAGCAATGTGCTATCCTGTGTCAGTGCTCTCCTCCTTGTTTTTAAACTGATCTTTAATCCTTGTTATGAGCCAGATTATCTACCAAAGAGGGCATGCAGTCTGTGGAGGCAGAGACAAGGGAAGCAAACTGGTGGGGTAGAGTGGCACAGCCTCCCATATAGGGGAGGTTAACACTGTCAACAGATAGCAGAAGGGCCCTAACACATGCCTGGGCCCTAGGACAGGAATGTCTGTAAGAATGGAGGGTGGCAGAAGGGCACCCCTCAACTTACCTTCTTCCAGCGGCAGAAAGGTGATAGCTGTGCTGAGTCGCCCACTGCCCAGGCTCACCAGATGGGGTTTGTCTGTTTGTACTTTCAGCCCTTTGCCTGTCTCAATCAGGTCCAATGGTCCTTTCTGCAGGAGTAGGGATGGGGGATGAGCATCATTAGAGACTCCAGGCTAGTAATTTACCACCCTAGTCCCAGTCACACCAGTACTCTCTCCAGCACTTGCCCTTTCCAAAGGGCTCTGAGGATGTCAAAAGTCTTAACACAAAATCTTGCACAGAGCATTATTCCACTAAATTGTAATTAGATCTGAATTTAGGCCACTAACTCGTCCCACCAGATTTATCTCAAGTCTTGGCTTAACTGACCCTTTTGTCTATTAAGACAGAAACAAGGAGAAAGTAAGGGGAGCAGGGAGGTACTGGATAAGAGGAGAGGGTATTGTAGAGGAGAGCCAATCAAGACTTGTCCTGTAGACTTATCTGTAGCAATCCACTTGCCAATGCTTGCCCCGGTTAAACTAAATCACAAGAGAGGGCAGGGGCATGAAATACAGCTCAGGGTCAATCTGTAAACTGCTTCTGGACTTTCAAAGGATATTTTCTGGGTAAACCAATTAACTTGATTCAAATAAAGACTTAGCTGTTAATAAGCTTGGGACCTGAGGAAGGGCAGAGAGGAACTGCAGCTGTCATCCATGGGCAGGGACCACAGGTGGATAGAGGAGCCAAACCCATTCTCACCAACAGCCCTCTTACCCAATGGCCCCGACCCCACTCACCTGCACCATTACTTGGGTCTTGCATCCAGGGCCTACCTGGTTCCTATTGAAATTGTCCATGGTCCTGGGTCTCTAGAGCTCCTAGGGAACGGCAAAAAGCTGGTGAGGTGGGGAGGCCAGAGCAGAAAAGAGAAAGGAGTAGGCAGGGCTCTCGGCAGGGGTACCACCAGGCACTGTCATTTCCAGCACATTTATGCCAAAGGAAAAGTGGAGGCAGCTCAGGAGCCTTCTGGGGGAAGGCAGTGCTACATCTTCAGCCACAGCATGGATACCACACCACACATCAGTCCTGACCCTTAGGCCACTGTAAGCACAGAAAGCCATATAAGGCCCAACCTATATTTCTGTGCTTTCTTGCCTCTGACACCCAAGACTCAGGTCTTGGCAGCTGAGGACCCTCAGACACCTGGAGCTGTAAGCAGGGTGGGGAAAATCTACTTTAGTGGGAGAAGCTGAATCCAAGGAAGCCCCTCCAAGGACACTGGTAGCCAGAGGGCCCCCAGGTGGGTGGCAGGACTGAGCTCCCTCCAGTGACTTTTCCCTTTCTTCTCCCTTTGTTTCTTTTACCAGGGGTTTTAATAGGATGTTTTCTTAAAGGAGACATAAGAAAAACTCAGCCATTCTTGCCATTTCTATATTTCTATATGCCTGCACCCTCTTTTCCCCAGAAAGTAATCTCACCCCCACACTACTGGAAACAACGACAACAACAACTTGGTGGTGACTAATATTGGAAATACAGGGCTCTTGGGGTCTTAACCTGTTTGGTGTTGTAAAGGGTAAATTAGATTCGAGCCAGAACTTGAATTCTTCCAAACCCATCTCTTTCTCCCTGGCTTACATTTTTGGTACCTGAGAAACAGGAGGAAGAACCTTTGTGTGCCTACATGCCTATCCCCTCATTAACTTGCTAAGAACTCATTTGCTGCTGAAATGTTACTGGGGAAAGCTGAGAAGAATGTTGCTGAAAGTAGGGAAGGAGACCCAGAAAGGCAGGATCTCCACCCCCCCACCCCCACTTTCTCTTCTAGTCATCTACAAGGTGACTTGGAGAGGAAGTGGGGGAGAAGCTAGCATTCCAAGAAGTGCCTGACTCTGGCAGTTGGGCCTAAGGGCCTCAGCTATAGAGTTACTAATTTTACCCTCCCAGCTTCCACCCTTCCGGGCTTGGACTGCATCATCTGTTACCATTTCTACCCAAGCTGGCGGAAGAGAGGCGGGAATGGGGCCTGGGGCCCACCCCAAATCTGCCTGGGAAGAGGGAGAGCAAAGACCATTTAACCTATACCAAGGCCCAAGCTGGCCTGGCACTTTCCCTGGAGATCTGGCCACAGGAAAAAGTTTCCAGAGACATAGACTGCTGTACTGCTTCTTCCGATTCAGGGAAACCCCTCAGCATTCTTTGAGGGAGGAGAGGCAAGAGACAGTGGGTTGCAAATAGGGAGTTTATATACAAGAGGGAGTGAGAAAAAAACAATAAATATTGGTGAAGGTAAGGCAGTATCATTTATTGTCTAACAATACAATTATTATTTACTAGCTGTGAGATCTCGGACAAATTACTTATCTCTGAGTGTCAGGTCATTAAAAAAAATCATTAGTGCTTGCCTGGAATGAGGAGTGACTAATAAATGGGTACAAGATTTCTTTTTGGCCTGATAGAAATGTTCTAAAACTAAATTGTGATGATAACTGCACAGTTCTGTAAATATACTAAAAATTGAATGTACACTTAAGTGAATTTTATGGTATATACATTATACCTCAATAAAACTTAGCTTGTTTGTGATTGTAGATTCAGGTTTTATATTAAATGATCCTTTATGAAGTATGCCAATTATTAGTTTGAGCTTCATGAACAGTCACTTCACCTTTGTGGGCTTCGGTTTCTTTGCCTGTCAAACGTCACTATCACCCTGTGAGGCAGCTGTGGGTGTGAACATTTATTTACACCAAAGAATTTCAAGTGAAGATAAAGATTGTAAAGGGACTAAGGTTTGGGAAGGGAGTGATTAGAAGAGAGAAGGGAATAAGGAGATGACAGGAGAGGGAGAGATAAGGAGAGAGGCATGGGGAAAGACGGAGAAAACAAAAAACGATGTAGAGATTGGGAGGTGCGAGGCTGTGGCTCCAGGTCAGAAACCTAATCCAGGTGCAGTGGAAAGATACAGCCTAACCAACGCATCTCAGTACTCAAGCTGTGCTTTCACAAAGGGGCTGCGCCGTGGCTCAGAGCCGCCAGCTGGGGGCGCCCTGTTCTCGGACCCCTGGCCTGGATAGTGCAGCCGCTCTACTGCCCGGGCGCGCGCCACAGGCAGACCCGCTTTGGTGGGACCTGGCTGCCCACTACCCGGGACTGTATTTACCTACCCGGCCCGCCCCGCCATGCCGCCTCGGCCTTTCTGGGAAACCCCGCCCCGCTGCCAAAGAAAGCCTCCTGCGGTTCGAGTCCGGCACTCCAGCTAGCGGGCGGGAGGGAAGCGCCGCGGTCAGCGCAGGCTCTCAGTAGCCCTCCGGCACCGCGAGCACAGAAGTCCAAGCACCTCCTTGGCATAGCGTGGCAGAGGCCTGGGTGTCTGGAGTTGACGTACAACGGAGAGGGCCCCGTGTGGGGCGAGGCCGAGGCGCCGGTGACCTCGCTCCCGGCGGGCCCCTCGGCCCCCTCGCCCCGCGGGATCAGCAGCCCCACCCGGTCCCCAGCCCTCTCCGCTGAGTGGGGCGTCCAGAGTCACCGCTCGGGATTCTCGGCACCCCAACGAGGGTGGAGGGAGGCTGGGGAAGGGCCGAAAGGGTGTGGAACCAACAGGTACTGGAGGAGGTCCAGGCTCCAAACCAAGCCGCAGACGAAAGGTCCAAGGCTAGCCCCAGAGAGGAAGGAAGCCTGACCCTCCGCGGCGCCCCTGCTTCGGCGCTCGCCGGAGTCCCGGCGGGGCCGCTCCAGCCCGCGCTTGTGGCCTAGAGGGCGTCGCACGGCTGTGGCCCGAGGCCTGCGCGGCCGAGTGGGGATCCTCTCGGCCCGTCGCCGCCTTTGCCTTCCCGGCGCACATTCGTCTTTGAGGAAGGGCTGCCAACCGAGGAAGGAGTCGGGAAGGAAACTGAGGCTGGGAACCCAGCGGGCTGGTCGCCGGAGCAGGGCGGGGGCCGGGAAGAGGTGTGGAAAGGCCCGGGGCCGAGAGAACAAGTAGACGAGGAATATGAGGGGTCCGCGGAGGAATGAGGCGGGGAAGGGGAGACGAAGGGATCTGGAGAGACAAATGGAGGAGGGAGACCGGGGGATGAAGAAAAATGAGAGCGGGGAAGGGAAGGCGTGGGCAGAGAAGCGGAGAGGAGAGGAAGAAGATATGAAAACAGGATGGTCCGAGAATGTAGAGGCGAAGGGACATAGGGACAGAGGTAGACGAACAGGGAGACCAAGATGGAGATGGAGGAAACTGAAGACAGCGGGGTCTTCGAGGACCGGGGAATACAAGGTACCAAGGGCAGTGGAGAGGAAACCACGGGGCGGGGAGACGGGGAGTTGAAGGAAGAGGGGGAGACAGGGCAGACGGGGGGCCCTGGAGTGGGGGGAGAGAGCCGGCGGTCCAGGAAGAGAGGACACGAAGCCGGGGAGAGAGGCGTGAGCGTAGCTGGGGTTCGCTTTTTATTTGTGTGTAGGGTGGAGGTGGGGTGTCCGCCAGGTGGGACAAGGCCGCAGTGTTGGGCTGCCAGCCCGGCCGCCCCGCCCGCCGCTGACGCCGGACAAGCAGCCTTTCTTTGGCGGAGCGGGGAGAAGGAGCCGCTTGTTTGCGCGGCTGGTGGAACCCGCAGTCCCACAGACACCAAGTGCTCCGCGCGGGGCAGCTGCTGGAAGGGGAACTGCGTGTGTAGCGGCAGTGTGTGAGAATGATGCGTGCATGAGCGGGAACTGCGTGAGCGTGGGTGCTACAGGTGTGAATGTGGTTTTATGTGAGGACTGCGCTGGTGTGCAGGGTGTGTGGAGTGTGTTGAGTTCTGGGTATGTGTAAGGGTTCCGCGCGTTTCAGGCGATGAGAGACTGGAGTGCTGCTTATGTGTGCGTGGGCGATGCAGGCTGGAGCTCTGTGTCTGCCGCGTGGGACATCCGACGTGGTGGGGAGCTGTGTTTGTGTGTGACCGCTGCGATGAGTCAGCCTCCGGGAGCCTCTGGGACGGCTGAGCTAACGGGCCCAGAATGCAGCCCCGCCCCGGCGCCCTGGGTCTCCACAGTGCCGCGCGGTCTCTGGTCCAAACCCCCGCTTGAGCCCGCCT